TCAACCAAACTTCCAATTTTTGCGTAAACTAGACACACCCTGAATATGTTAGGAGAAAACAGGAAAAGAGAAGATCAACAATAGTTGAGGTCGAAGCTAAAGAAGAACAACATAGGTTGTGTTTAGTTCAGCGTAAAGTTTAGATTTTGGTTGAAATTAGAGATGATGTGACTGAAAAGTTGTGTGTGTATGACAGGTTGATGTGATGGAAAAAGACTAAAGTTTGGATCCAAACTTTGAATCTAAACACAGCCATAGAAACAACACAAGGTGGACAGGTACGAATTGATGTTGTTGTCACGGTAAGTCCCATTCTATGGGGATGGCAATCGTCAGATGATTGCAGCTGTGGCATCTAGCTAGAAAACACCAGTGTACAAATGCTCTTTAACAAACGAATATAAGAGATGTCCTTGTAGCCCATGGGAAAAAGGAAAAGTAAAGTTATGTATTGCTTCATTTTTCAGTCTGATGTGTGATGGTAAGCACTCTACATCCACACAATGTGATATTTGTCTCACTCCAGTAGTCAACATACTTCGAAATGGAATCACCTCCACTGTAAGAAAAAGGAAAAGGGTATTCATGACAAGACCGCTTGAAATTCTGTCTTATGATTGGCGTCGTCATCACTTATGACATTATACCAAAACATCATGTGCACTATCGTAAGCTACTACCACTAACCAATAATTCGTGATGGTCATGTGCCACATGCCAAGGAAAAATCTACCTATTGCTGATGGTTTATAGATACGAAGATCTGCTTCTCGTTTTGCTGAAGCAATAATTTATTTTTGAAATAAAAAAGAGAAGGGAAGACTCTTTCGGAACAAAGAAAAACAGATGAATTTGAATCCAAATGAAAAAAAAAATCCTATAGAACCCTTCAGAAAAAAGGATTGATTCTCTCTGTTCTTCAGTTTCATTAGTTGATTGTAGCATTCTGGCACAATTTAGAGATGGCGCGTGTTAAATATGTGATCGGAATTTTAGGCCCACAATATATTCGGATTAGTTTCCTAATAGAACTTGACTATTAGGATTAGTTTCCTAGTATAACTCTAAGTTTTTATCTACTAGGACTCCTAGATTTCTCCTATATATATATATATCCCTTGTAAGCCGCACGGGGAGGTGTTGATGCAAAGAACACACACTGGCCTAGGAGATCTGCTTAGCTCCAGTGCAGGTCCAAAGGTTATTGAGATGCGGGCGTGCCAGTCAGTTTGATCCTGCAACTGACAAGATATGTAAACAGTAGATCAAATAGCCGATCGGCTGACAAGCTGATGGAGTAGTTCTAGCCGATAGCCGATACCAGCTGATATAGTGATAGGGTTTTGAGCTATCGGCTATATGTCCAATATATATAATGATATGAAGGCAATCGGCTGATGATAATATAATATAGCAATATAATCCAATAGAAACCAATCGGCTAGTAGTATGATATAATAGAACAAGTATTGAACCGAAGGTTAAAGCATACATCGGCTGGAGGTCCGATGTCATAAAATCCACAAGATTAGATTAAACAGTGAAACCTTTGTTGTCATCGGCTAAATCCAACTTATATGTATATGCAATCCTTACAAGCCGATGCAACGTCCAGATAACTTATCGGCTAGTACCCCGATAAAACATTAGCATGAACCTATCGGCTAACAAGACTTATATCATTAACAACAATCTAGTAGGTCGAACCTAACCGATGCAGCACGAGATTATATATGATAATCTAATACTCGATGAGCCGATAGATCTATCTAATGTGATGGATATAACAAATCTATTTAGAACAACATTCCGATTGTAGAGATATATTGGCTAAGACAGAAGATCGGACCTAACCGAGACAGTCCCAACTAAACCAATGCGTCTCTAAACACAATGCAATTAGATATAGAATTGAGATATCAGGTAGGCAAATATATCAACCAAACCAGCGCGATCCAAGAGATCGAGCGATGCAGCCTTGAACAACACCAACGTAGAGGATAGATTCACCAGGGCCGGCGGAACGTAGGACTTACCCCTTTGCCGGAGATTGAACTGAACCGATGCAGCCTTGCGTCAAGTGCCAAATTCCGCCGGATGATAAGTAAAAACCTCACGAAAGAGGGTGGCGATGCGCCGAGAGTAGTTGTATTGATCGAGAGATTGATAGATTACAATGACCCCAGGTGTATATATTTATACCCATGGGTAGATACTAGTCCTTGTAGGACCAGAAAGAAACTTTCCTAAAGATAAAAGGAAAACACAAAGTCCTTGTCGGACACTAAACACACTTTCTTAAATATAAAAGGAAACTAACAAACTATTCTTAATTAATAAATACAATCGCCTTCTTCGGACTCAATCCGCATGTGGCAATCCTCATGAAGTACGTCAACTCACTCCAACAATGATTCCAATCTCACCTTGCCGGAATCGGCTACATCGGCTTACCTTGTCCGATTCGGTATCTGCCGATGCACACCGTAGCCGATGCAGTCCCGAAGCCGATTTATACTCTGTTTCTGTTATCGATTTCCTTCCAAATCCGCTTCGGCCTTAACTCCAAATCCGATGCATGATTTACCAAATTTGGTAGTTAACAGGAGGGTGTGACAGCCAAATATATCTCGTGTGTCTGTATCCAATTCCTTTATAGTGATCATTACCGGTCGGCGCCTATGGTTTTTTCCCGTAAGGATTTTCCACATAAAATTCATGTGTCCGTTATGCATCTATTTTCATAACAAGTGGTATTAGAGCATTGGAGATCAATCTACTATTTCCGGCCACCGGCGATTTTTGGGATCGAAGAAACCGATCTGATCTGATCGGCGGAGCAGGCGCGTGTCGTCGCGTTGGCTTCGTCGTTCCGCTGAATCAACTTTTTGGGCGCTCTACTCGTCAATCCGCAGTCGCTGATCTATTCGTCGTCATCGACATTTTCTGCTATGCTCAGCGAGATCGATTCCGCCAAGATCAAATTTGCCTTCAGCTTCGCCGCGGAGTCGCTGCCGCCCTTCCACGTCCTTGCAATGAAAAGCAAAAGCTGCAGCCGCCGTCCACCTATCTACTGTTGCTGCGTTCGCATCGAGGAGAAAAGACGCAGTTGACTATGGTACGCACGGGCAGGGCATCTCAGTTGCACGGTTGTTGAGGTGGAGTAAAGGAAAAAAAAGAGAGAAAAGAATAAACAAAGCCGGGTTCTATGTCGTTCCATGAGGTCACCCGCAATGGTTATCTATAGACTCTCTATAAGAGATCCATGTCAGCATATTTTCCTACTTGAAAGAGATTAAATGAAGAGAGAGAGCAAAGCTATCTACTAACCTGAAAATAGTCTATAGAGAAAAACGAAGCAATGTATTAGAGAGCTATAGATACCCATGTAGACATACTATTGAGATGGTTTACTATTAATCTAGTCTATTGCTGAGATGTACATGTTTTATAGATAGCACCTTACTTTACCATTTGGGGTGCTCTGAGGAGCAAAATTTCCGGTGTTTTTGCTGCGTGCACATATCCAGCATATCAGGGATTCAAGCCTTGCATTGTTTTGGTTCTGTTTAGGGGAATTCAAATTCACGTTCAATTGCTATGTTCACAAAGCCAAGTCTACCAGGAGGTTCTGCACGGAGATCAAAATACTTCGTTTTATGCACCTAGAGTGTTTCGCGTTTCTGTTAGGGTTTGACAAATTGTACCATCAGATTCAGGATTTTATTCCCAATGCGAGTTTGAAGTTTGATCTACAATATTCTCGTTATGGCAAGTGAAGATGCAAGTTGGCATATCTATCGAGGAGGAGAAGCAGGTACTGTCGTGCACCAGTCTATCAGTAGCGCATACATGTTCCAGGACACACAAGCGAAGTCGTCGAGAGAGAGCCAGAAGGTTCCTATCCAGATCACGTGGAGGTGGTCAAATTTCCGGCGGAATTGCTAAGTTTGTTTGCCCAGCATATCAGAAGGTTAATAAGGAGATCTAAGTACTTCGTTTTAATCACAAGAGTTTCGCGTTTCGGCTAGGATTAAAGAAATTCATGCCAGCAGATTCAGGATTTTATTCCCATGGCGAGTTTGAAGTTTGTGCATCAGTTTCGCGTCTCTGCTAGGTTCACATCGGTTTATACTAGCAGATTCAGGATTTGTTCCTAATGGCGAGTTTGAAGTATGGTCTACCTCTTCTGGATCAAGGGTGTTATGGATTATAGTCCAAGTGACTATTTGGCGCACATTGATTTTATCATCACAAGGTTCTTTGGAGATTGAAGATTTTTATGCTACAAGGGAAATTCGTATCAAGGTGGAGATGAAACTAATTCTATAATGCAGAGTCCTATTAGGGTACCCAACTCCTCTATAGTGATCATTGCTGGTCGGCGCCCGTGGTTTTTTCCCGTAAGGGTTTTCCACATAAAATTCGTGTATCTGTTGTGCATCTATTTTCATAACAGCGTGAGTGCTTCAGAGTTTAGAACATTAGCTAATTTACAACATGGTACCCTAGAGAAGAAAATGCACAATGAAACATAATTCTTTCTTGATTTAGTGCAGCGGCGGAGCCAGCGTGGGGGCGGAGGGGGCTTGAGCCCCCACTACCCCGCTAGACTCCATGGAGTTGTGAGGGAGGAGAGGGGGGGAGAGGGAGAGGAAGAAGAAAATGGGGGGAGAGAGGGGGCTGGAGGAGGAAGAAGAAGGCTGAGCCCCCCCCCTCTCATCCAAACCTAGCTCCGCCATTGATTAAGTGATTATACACTTGCCACTTCTTACCATTAGTAGTAACATTTTTTGGCTCTATGCTAGGTGTACACATATAGCCTGATCATTTGACAATAAAGAAAAAAACATAATAAAAACAGAACAAGCCTTCCCCTGCCACAAAGCTAAACAAAAGAAGCATCTCTTATATGTAGGGATGAAGCATGGGCTTCTAAATAATTGACGGATTTACAGGTCCGGCAATTAATTAATGTATAACTCAAGTCTTATAGTGACTTCATCATAAAAAGAGAAATGTCAAAATGACTTAAAGATTTGTATAAGCCAGTCCATTCACCCCCAAAAATTTAAGCTTATGAGAAATAACCAATAATTCACGTGTAGTTCAATAAATGATCAAATTATCTCCATCATCATAACTGTAAAACAGGATCATCAAAAACGAAATAATACTAGTACGCTAGTAGAAACGAGAAGTAACAGAGCATTGTGGCTCAATGATGAATTCCACGATGAAAAATCTCCTTTTATGAACTTCCCACATAATCCCATTTCTTCTAGGCATGTAGGCTCTCAGTGTAATAACCACAATAGCCTTTTCTTTTGTTTTGTTCTTATTCTGACAACAGAGGTGTCTTATCTTCCCACTTGTTCAACCTTTTCATGGCTTCTTCCACCTACAACATGAAAGCATGATAAATACTGTCTTACTCTCTCTCTGTTCCATAATATAAGCGATTTTGACTTTTTGCTTGTACTGTTTGACCACTCGTTTTATTCAAAAAAAATTGTGCAAATATAATAAACGAAAAGTTATGCTTAAAGTACTTTGTATAATAAAGTAAGTCACAAATAAAATAAATAATAATTCTAATTTTTTTTTGAATAAGACGGATAGTCAAAGAACGAAGAGAGTACATAATGAGAAAGCCATTGGCACCAGGCCATTGCTTCACTACATTACACCCTTCAAGAGAAGTTCTGTAATTTAAACCAGGTCTTAACAAGTTTGGTGGGAAATTTTATACGTGTTAGCATAGAAACTATAAACAATATATTTCCCAGTTGAATGATACATTATGGAGGAAATTTTTAACTATTCAATATGTAGCACTGGAGTGACTCATATATTTATATTGTTTCAGATCTGAATATTTTAAATTTTACTAGGGTAATCCAATCATGCTCACTCACTAGAAACAAATTTAGGATTTGTCAAGCGGAATTCGCAAGTACGGCACTAGTGGGCCACAAACCCAATACCTCATAATGCATAGAGACCATCCTTATAATATCACCTAGGGAACACATATTGTAACTCTTTTGATGTTATTCTTTCGATTTGACTATATTTTTGTTCTAACGTGAAACACTAATTTAATACTCTAGACGACTTCAAATGAGAAATTTGTCAACCACAAAATTGCAGATCTTATATATCGAGCCCTACAATGTTTGATATACGGCATGCACCCATCCGATGTTGTCAGAAAAATTCAAAAAATCTTTTGAAAATAGATCACATAACTTATAACACATATTTAGGCATGTAACTGATCTCAAATAAAAATATTGTCAATTAAAAAGTTATAGATTTCATCGAGCCCTACAACTTTGACATATGGAATGTCTGCATTCAAGATTGTTTGAAAAAAAAAATCGAAATTACATTTTTAAAAATAGATCTTATATAAGCATATTCGGGCATGTAAACGGTATCAAATGAAATTGTTGTTAGTTATAAAGTTATAAATCCTGTTGAGATTTTGGTGTATGGCATATATTCCTCAGAGATCATTTCAAAATTTTAAAAAATTGAATTTTCAATCATCAGTGGTGGTTATCAGTTAATCAGTGACGGTCGTTATGACCCATTGTAGGTAAGTGCTCTCATCTGTGATAGATCATCACACTACACACGTCACACATAGCATGCTTTCTCTTAAGGATCATGGTTGCTACCAGGATTTGAAATTTTGGTTCGAAATTTCCGAAATTTCGCCCCCCACCGAAATGCTCATATCTCGTCAGAAACTTTCGGTTTTTTTGCAAATTTTTATGAATTTGGTCAAATTTTATTTAAATCCATTTAAAATAGTCAAAATTTCAAAAAAAAAATTCGTACGAAAAAATCCAAAATTTCTGAAATTTCAGTTCTATCACCAACCTGCGGCAGAAATCCCACTTTCGAAATTTCAAACCCTGGTTGCTACACGTGTTGGATTATATATGATGAGTTACAACTATGATCTTTCACAGATAATCGGACAATTGTAACGGGTCATCCCTGGTAATGATTCCCTCCGTCAGAGAACTTTTTGATTGGTCAGAGACAACTTGTCACGGATATCTGGACCGTAGTAGTACGTGTTCAGACTATAGACTATAGGGTGTGTTTAGTTCACGACAAAATTAAATGTTTGGTTAAAATTAGAATGATGTGATGGAAAAATTGGAAGTTTGTGTGTGTAAAAAAGTTTTGATGTGATGAAAAAGTTGAAAGTTTAAAGAAAAATTTTGGAACTAAACTCGGCCTATATTGTGTATAGTTTCAGACTGATTGTTGCAGTGCTGCAGATCTGGAAGACATGTGTCGTTCCTCCGCTGTGTTAGCACCATATTCTTGCCCAGTTGTGTACGTGCTGTGCCTTTTCATCTAAACATACTGAAGAAAAACTGCTTATCAGAACTTGTAAAGGAGAGTAATTAAGCAATTTACCTCTCTGTTCCAGTTGGTCCTGAAGGTGACCCACATAAGGATCAAGGTCTGCATCAGTGTACCTCCTATCATACCGCTCCAAATACCCTGCAATTGGCGCCATCCATCAATAACATGCAAGAAACTAGTACATATATACACTCATACACTATACATGGGTCATAGGTCCATTCATTATCTAAAAAAAGGTGATAGGTCCATTACAAAGCTACGCCAAACTGTCATGGTCTCATGGAGCATATATGTCGGACAACAGTACTACAGTACGATTCTTTCCTACAGTTCAATTTTTGTTTTTAGAACTTTCCGACAGTTCAACAAATTCAACTAAAAACTATCATGGAGAAGAGTATTGATCAATGTACCGCAGCGCCGAGGTCGAAGTAGAAGCCGAGGAGGCAGCCGAGGGGGATACCGACGATGTAGTAGCAGCCTACGTTGACGTAGGCCACGAACGCTTGCCATCCGCAGCCCACGGCCACACCTGTGTGAATGCCAAAGGCAGGCGATCGAGGTGAGCAGCTCGTCGTCCTCGAACGAATTAGTAGTTTACTACTGGTTGGTCTGCGATTTTAATTTTTACCTGACAGGACGGGCTGGATGCCGTTGAGGATGAGGGTGAGCGCCAGCAGCGGCGTGAGCTTGGACACCGCCGTCGCCACGTCCTCGCCGTCGGTGAAGATGTAGCTGATGTAGTCCCGGCACAGCAGGATGACAAGCGAGATTACCACCGACAGAAAGAACGACAGCACCGTCACCACCACCACCGAGAATGCCGCCGACTTGGGGTTCCCAGCACCGAGCTCATTGCTCACCCTCACGCTGCACATTGATTATTAATTAGTCGTTGCATATAATACACAAGCGTTAGTAATTTTCGAAGACACTTGCAACCTGCAAGCTATAGGAAATGATCACTACTGATCAGTGATCAGCGTTACCTGGCTGCTGCGTTGAATCCGACTGAGATCATGAACACCCATCCAGAAATTGTCATGCTGCGACACACAAACACAACTGAATGATTAGACCAGCATCCCAAAATGCAATGGCATGGAAAATCAACTCTTAAGTGAGATCATATCAGCTATAAGTAGTACCAGACAGAGAGCGAGGCAAGTGCCATCTCAGGGTCCTTGAGGAGGCCGGCGATGAGGACGAGGATCTGGAAGTACCAGGTCTCGAGGCAGAGCATGACGGCGGAGGCGAGGGACAGCTTGAAGAAGTCGGGCAAGCCGGAGAAGGCCAGCATGGAGAAGCCGGTCCAAGTGAGCCTGCACCGGCGGCTGGTGACGATGTAGATGAACTGCGCGACGACGATGACCCACCAGCTGATGCTGAGCATTAGCGAGGCGCCAAGAAGGCCAAGACCGAACTGGTAGACGACGAGGTAGCTGAGGACGAGGTGGAAGGCGAGCGTGGCGGCGGAGATGTAGGCGCTGGGTGCCATGATGCTCTGCGCCTGCATGAACTTCTGGATGGGGAAGTTGGCGGCGTAGGCGAAGATCTGCGGGACGAGGCCGTAGACGAAGACGGCGGCGGCGCTGGCGATCTCCGGGGACTCGCCGAGGAGGACAAGGATGGGGCGGGAGAAGGCGTAGATGACGGCGAGCGGGACGCCGGTGGCCATCAGCAGCACGGTGGATCGCTGCAGATAGACGCCGAGCATGTCGTACTTGTGCGCGCCGTACGCCTGCCCGCACAGCGTCTCCACCGCGCTCCCCATCCCCAGCTGCATTTGCACAACGTAGCTCCCATTAGCCAGCAGCCCATGCATTGCATGCCATGCCAGCAGCCAGCTAAACACCTTAATTTGATCATAGAATCACTACAGATAGATAGTTGCATTCATCGAGCGGACACTGATCGATTCTTCTTTTTCTGTTCTTCAGTTTGCTACTGAACCAATATATCTCCCTTTTCTATAGTTGAGTGGTCCTGAAGAACACAGAAATTTCACCTGATTTTCACATTAAACAGTACATTTTATCCGAAAACTTTTACTATCAAACTTCTCCATTCCAAGGGAGGGACCCTCAGTGTTATGTTTGCAACCGTGTTCTGTAGGCCTGGCAATCCTGCTACAGGTCAAGTGTAAAAGGGCTCTCCTATGTACTAGCTATACATTATAGGCGCTTTATAGTATGATTAGGTGTGGCCCTCAGTGTTATGTTTGCACACGCTTGTATTATGTGTGACGTGAGTAGAGAGATGTGTACATGCCGTGCCGTCGTCTATCGAAGCCAGCCAAGTAGCCAAATCCAACTTGTTCATTTTTACCGGCTTACTTAATTACTGCTGCGGAGGGCTGTCCTTTTGCTTCTTGATTTCGTATCATTTCGGCGATTGCGATGCCGCGATATGGAAGGAAGCTGCGGCAAATTATTGTGGACTCGGTCATCTCTCTACATTGGTCTCACACTACCTCAGCTGTCAGCTCACGCCTTCCTTTTCCTATGCTTCGAATCGCACCTGGTCCTTCGTCTCAGAGAAGAAAGAAAAAAAAGAATAGGACCCGGTTCAGGCTGTCCCGCGAGCAGCTTGCACCGTGAAAATAAATGATCACCGGCGATACAGTAGGTAGATAAGAGCAGGTACAATAGCAGGCTAATGCTATTAGCCAGCTGTAAACATATTTTAATAAGATAAAAGATGAGAGAAAAGAGCAGCAGGCTACAGATCTGTAGCCAGCTGCAGCACGGACTCCAAGACGTAATGTGTATATGATAGGTGTGACCATATATTAGTAGTATAGTAAGCAACTATTGAATGAATTGGCTATTAGGGCATGTACAAAGGCATTAATTAGTGGGCTTTCTTTATTGCCATGTAAGCATATTTGATTAGGTGGAAGAGAGAGAAAAGAGAAAGGAGATGCATCGATGTTTTGCATGCCATCGGCTTGACATCGGCTCTCATCGAGATAAACACGAGCACACGAGATAAACAACGACCGTTGTATGGTCCATCTTCAAGAAAAGTCGCTTATTTAGATTCAAAGTGCAGAAAATCACGTAATCATTGCTACTAGAATTTAATTACTGCATATCAGTGGAGAGACGATAAAAAAAGCCAGCCTTTGTAGAACTACTGTTTTATTCTGACATGACATATCTATAAGGTCATAGCGGGCTCAACCGTTGAACGTGCTCTTAGATTGACTATAGATAAATTAAAGTTAATAATAGGCTATACTATTAAATTTGCTCTAAATGATCACGGGCGATACAGTGGGTAGCTGGGTGCACGCACAACTCACATGCACATTTCTTAATTATCCTCTGCCTACACGGAGGCCATGCAACAATAAATGGACGGCGGCATGTGACAAGTTTTTCATCTGGGGAGCTAATCATCCTAAGAGACCGAATAATGGACCCAAAATCTCCAACAACCATATGTTTATGGCCATTAAATAAGGGTACTTCAATTTATTTTGTTATAGTATCGACCTCCATCAACTACGTTGGACATACGTAGTACAAGTCAGTAGTGAAATTATGCCAGACCGACCGACCAGTATAACGGATCGATCTGGCCTAAACTGGATAATTAATTTGATCTGGGTCAATATCATGATCATACATGCATCAAGCTAATCAATTTAGTACTAATCAAATGGTACGTTTTTCGCTTTGATAATGGCAGGTCAGTTAAATAACTAAGATCGGAGCAGCCGGCGGCGATTGACGGATCGAGTTTGATAAACAATTGAAGTACGTACCATGAGGCCGTAGGCGAAGACCTGGATGCCGGTGTTGCCGAGGGAGGCGGCGGCGAGCTCGAGCGTGCCGAGGTGGCCGGAGAAGATCTGCGTGGACATGGACATGAGGTAGTTGATCATGTACACCAGCACGGCCGGCGCCGCCAACCGCAGCATCAGCCGCATCTCCACCCCCGTCGCCGCCCACATCCGCCGCGCCCACGGCACCGTCTCGTCGCCCAGGATGCTCTCCAGCTCCCCGCTCACCCCGTGCCCTCCCCCGCCATCGCCGCCGCCCGACGACACCGCCGCCTCCAGCAGCGGGCTCTCCAGCTGCTGCTGCTGCTCCTCCTTGCCGCCGCCGGCGTCCTTGACGGAGCTTCCCATGTGTGTCGTATGCGTGTCGGCTCTGTGCGTGAGGGTGGCTGCAGAGCGAGAGAGGAGGAGAGGCAGAGAGATCGTTGCTGTGTGTGGGGGCTATATACAGTATACACTAGCGTTGCGCGGCCACGAGAGATAAAATACAAGTTGACTAGCGGCTCAACTCGCTCGCCTACCTCATCTCACCTGCTGGCTGCTGCCCAATTAAAGGGAGGTTCTTGTTTGGTTCCGAAGCTAGGAAGGTTTAGTCTGGTTTGGCTTGGATTCTTCTCTTAATTATTGTCATTTTCTTTTTGTGTTAATTTCAGCCGTTTTCGTGCTCGATCTTACTGGCACTGCCATTGGGTTGGCTGGGCGGCGGCGGAATGCTCGCTTGTTTTCTACCGCGCATGCACTGCTATATTTTACTGTATTTGTTTGGGATGCAACGGCAGTGCTCCTTCCGTTGCTATGTCTGCTTGGTTCAGATCAGTTACATCAAACACAAACGCCAAGTGAAATGATACGACGAAAAACCTGGAAATGAGCAGTACGTAGTGACGTACGCTAGCTAGCTAGCTAGAGGTGGGGATAATATTTGGGCTTCTTCTTGAACACACTGCATATACCACGTGACCGACACTGAGCCAACTACTTGTACCAGTACCATACCATACCGATATTTTGAGTTTTTTTATATATGTAACAGGACACTTCGTTAACCAACAGGACCCACAGGCCACGGCCATATCTATATACCTAATTAAAAAATACGCAAGGTTTCCGTAAAAAAAATTTCATCCGTCTCTCTTTTTTTTTTTTCCGATTCAGTTTTTGCTTCGTTTTTTTCACTGTTTTTCTTTTTTTTTTCTGATTTGTTTTTTTCTTTTTTTTCCGTCTCTTTTTTTTAATTTTGCCCGATTCAGTTTTTCCCGTGATTTTTGATCTTTTTTTCGCTGTTTTTCTTTTTTTTCCAATTTATTTTTTTTCGTGTTTTCTTTTGTTGTTTTCTTCATGCGGTTTTTATCTCATCCAATCTGTTGCACACTTGCACTTCAATCTATTTCTTCATGTGTTTTCTCCTTCCATTGATTGCAAAAATCAATTTTTTTCCCGATTCAGTTTTTCCCGTGATTTTTTTATCTTTTTTCGCTGTTTTTTCTTTTTTTCCGATTTGTTTTTTTTCTTGTTTTCTTCTGTTGTTTTTTTCATCCGGTTATTATCTCATCCAATCTGTTGCACGCTTGCACTTCAATCTATTTCCTCTTGTATTTTCTCTTTCCATTGATTGAAAAAATTGATTCCCCACTCCACTCTTATCATTTTTCTCACGATTTAATCTTTTAATTCACTGGATTTAATCTCATTTGTTGATGATGGTCGGCCGGCCGTTTTTATCCTAAATTTTGTGGATTCGTTCTAATTTTGGAAAAAAACAGAAAGAGTAGATCGAGTGAATAAAAACCCTCAACCAATCAAAAAAGATTTGGATTTGATGGAGATGATCGGCTCCAGCATACGGACAAGGTATTGTCTGTGGAGGAGCTGAGCCTGTAGCCTTACTTCTGGGCTGGATCGACGACAGGCCTAGACCCAAAACCAAGGAACAATCGACAACAAGGCCTATATTTTATTTTTTAATTATACTGTATAGCGATCATAATATTTCAATTCATTGTACTTTTTATCCGTTGCAACGCACGGGCATTTTTTAGTCTAATTAAAAAATACGGATGGCTTCCGGTAAAAAAAGTTTCGTCCGTCATCCGTTTCCCTTTTTTTTCCGTTTTTCCTTTATTTTTATCCGCTTCTTTTTCCCTTTTTTTTATCCGTCTTTTTTTTCTTTTCTCGCCATTTTTTCTTTTTTTCCCTTTTTCCTTTTTTCTGTCCATCTATTTTTTTCGCTGTTTTTTCATCTCCTTTTTCCCTTCCGCTTTTCTCTTCGCCTTTTTTTTTGTTTTTTCCCATCCGCTTTTTTCCTTTTTTTTTCTTTCGCACGTGTAACGATCTGTTTTTTTTTTATATACCATGTTTTTTTTACCCAGCCGAACGCGTTACCCGGCCAAACCCTAGCGCCGCTGCCGTGTGGATCTGCCTCCCATACGTTTCCTCCTCTAATTGATTGCAAAAATTGATTCCCCACTACTCTTTATTTAAAAGTCACCGTTTTTATCCCGAGTTTTACAAATTCACTTTGATTTTGATAAAGCCAGAAAGAGAAGATCGAGTGTATCAATAACCCTCAACCAATTTTACAAAATCGAGAAAAATTCGAACAGACTTGATGGGAAGATTTGACCGGATTTGGTTTTGGCATCGTACGAATACTAGATTATCTTCCAGAGGTTAAACACGACGAGTTGAATCTACCGCTCTACTTGTGGGTTGGGTTAAAGAGAGGCAGGTTAAGCAGAGAAAGTATTTTTAGCCGTTGCAACGCACGGACATTTTTTCTAGTGTGTCTATATATATATATATATATATATATATATATATATATATATATATATATATATATATATTGGGACATGCGTATACGTACAACCTAGCATCTTTTTTCCCCGGAGGTTTATACGAATGCATACAAACCACAAGAAGGATGCACTGTTTAGTATAAGTAGGTCTAATTTATTTCATAACATTAACCACGTAAATTAACAAAACTATCATTTTTAAACAAAGGAATATATTTTATTCCGGCCACTGCACAAGCCATGCACTCGACCATTCGTTATTACAAGTATTTCTAGCTCAAAATAAATAGGGTTAATAGGATCATGCCACTATAATTTTCACAGTTTTGAAATATATCTTTACTATTCAACTATTTGGGTATATGCCATTATACTTTAACACTTATTTGTTTTAGACATTAATTACCCCTTCAACACATTTGTTAATTTTTTAGGACTAAACTGCACCATATCTTCTTCCTCATCCTCACCCCTCTCTCTATCTTCTCTCCCATTTGCCCCCTGCTCTCTCGAAGCAGCAGGTGCTCTCACGGGAACACTTGGGGATCCTTCGGTGCAAATTTCTGGATAAACAAAAATGAGAAAAAAAAAGGAAGTTGTTGAAGATGAGCAATTGGTAATGGCTCGGGGTCGTTCATGGAGTTTCTCTTGGACACATGAGTAGATGATGAACGCGTTGACTGTTAGAAAGGGGAGGCGACCAGCTGCTACCTTGGGCTCGTTGTCGAGAGCGATGACGACGCTGTCACGGTCTCACGGAAGGGCACAGCCACACAACGGAGCGACTACCGCAAGCGAGATTTAAGTGCTTACTTGATCCGGGGACGATGCCGGGCTGAACGTTGAGTGGGTGGCCTTCCCGAGGTTCATGTGAAAATGGGAGAGGAGATGGGGAGAAGACAAGCTGCCAGTGCCATATCCAAATCCAGAAGGGAAAGAAAGGGGAGGAAGAAGATGAACAGGAGAGATGGAAGGAGAAAAAAAATGAAAGGGCAATCTGGTCTAAAATTTTTAATAAATGCATTGAATGTGTGGGTGTGTTTAGTTCCCGAAAAAAGTTGGAAGTTCAGGGAAAGTTGAAAGTTTGGAAAAAAAAGTTTGAAGTTTATATGTGTAGGAAAGTTTTGGATGTGATGTGATGTGATAGAAAATTAGAAGTTTGGGGTAGTTGGGGGTGAACTAAATACGGCCTGTGTGTAGTGGCATGTTACCAATAACTGAAAAATTTACAGTGGCATGGTTCCAAATATGTAAATAGTAGTGGCATATTTCTAAACTAAAGAATTAGTAATGGCATGGATCTAATTAACCCTAATAAATAATGCTAACAAAATGTCACGTTCATAGAATTCATACTGCTAACTTTTACAATTTGTTTGGGAGTCAATGGCAATGCTACCTTTCACTTCTGACAGCTATATATATATATATATATATATATATATATAGCACAATTGTACTCCTAGTACGTTTCAAATGAGTTGTATCAAACACATTACGCCAAGTGAAATGATACAAGTCCAGGACATGAACAGTCATTACACTAGCTAGATAGAGGTGGGAATGTTCGGGCTTCTTATTTTCCATCTTGTTCAGCATACCCTTTTTAAGGTAAACCTCAAAAGAGCATCGGGAGTTTCTATTTTTATTTATGAATAAAAGACTTGCCCCAGTTTATAATTTGAAGAAAAATCGAATCTAAAAACCTTACAAATACATGGATAATTGGGGATAATTGTCAAAAAAAAAACCCCGAGTAACAAAGATACATAACACTTGCGACGGTGCTTATTAAGCTCACCCACAAATCATTGTTGCCAAGCTTAAAAGAGAACTCCCTACCTTCTAGGAACAAACAATAGGTTAAACAACCAACACACCCAAGAAAAACATAGGGCAAGGTCTTTTTAGACGAATCCTCCAAAGAGGAAAAAGTGTCCGAGACACGAATAGGTGTTCGTCTAAACAACAGAACTGGGATTTCCCCTAAAGAAAAGAGGAGAGCGGAACAATAACGCCTCCAAGAAGTATAACGGTGCTGTTGGCAACTTTTTTGACAAGTTGACAAGCACGATCGCAGCACATTAAGCCTTGCGGTGATCCTAGAGTCACCAACCACCTCGATCTAGCAAAGAGCTAAATCTAGATGGGTTTTGATAACTAAACCGGCTAACGGAGCCGATTTCTAGATAACTACCCGTCTCATGGGCAAAACGGAAGGTTTTCAGGACAAACCTACAAAGAGATGTCGCACTCTCGCAGCGGCGGCGGACGGTTTACGGCGCAAACTGACAAAGATGGACAAACTAAGAGAAAACTAAAAGCAATATGAAAAAACGATTCGATTGATTGATTGTAGATTGGTTTTTTACAATGAACCGGCCATGTCCCTTATATAGGGGTTGGTCTTGCCCTCTACAGGCCCTCCTCCACGTCCAACTTGGGGTAGAAACTAAAGGAAACCCGAAACATGTCTTCCCGAGTAAGGAAACCTCGAAACCCGATGAAACATAGTCGGACTCGGACCTGCCGGTCAGACCGGCCACACACCGCCGGTCTGACAGGCCCTCAACCGGCGGTCTGACCGCCCAACACACAGCGGTCAGACCGGCCCACTCGGAGGAAACCAGTAGACTTTCAAATTTTGGCAATCTTTCCTATTTTAATCCTAGGTGCCAAATTTGGGTGTAAACACATGCCCCCCCTGCCTTTTTTGATGA